TCAGTCAGAACAGTAGTTTTGGGAACAAGAGTACTATTGCTCTATAACTCTATCTTCAGCGAATCGACAGGTCACATTCAGTAGCACTTCACGAGTACAGTAATTTAAGAACGATTGAACCAGACGAATTCATATTACGAAATTTATATTTCCAAATGGGACCGGCTTACCGGAAAATCAAAAAAAGATTTTTTTAGATAATTGAATTCATTTTACAGCTTTTTTACAGCTTTCCCCCCGCCTTTCAGTACATTAAGGCATTTTATTAACAACAAAAGAAATATGCGTTTTCATGTATTCTGGACCCAGTCTAATTGAGTTTAGCCAGATGATTTTCATTTCTTTACTTTAGATAAAATGAAAGTGTGTGTGCATTCTTTTAATACATTTCCTCTATGATGACCCAGCTTTCATATCACTTTCTTATAGGACCGTCATGAAATGATCTGATTGTTTTTTTAAAGTGTATATGACACGAAAACATTTCATCGTTAAAAATGTATAGTTTGTTAATAATAATAAATATATCGTAATGAAATTTGTTGCAAAAGCTTATTTCTTGAGATATGTGAGAAAATTAAGCCTAATTTGTGACGTCATTTTGTTGACACGTACTCTAGATTCGGTAGTAATGCACTAAATATAAATTGTAATTCGTATGAAATAACAACAAAGGGCATATTCTATTCAGCTCCATTTGATAGCTTACGTAGTACTCTTCAAATGTTGGGAAACTGAAAATCGTACTATCTGAAATTAATATTCTACATTCAAACATATTTCGTGCATTTCCAACTAAATATGGATACTTGTAAACAAAATGAGGTCACAACTTGTGCTAAATTTTCTTGAATTTCTAGAGAAATACGTTTTTGAAACAAATTTAAGCATGATATTCTTATCAATACCAATAACCTACACTTTTTTAACATTAATTGCTTTTCAGGTCATATGCATTTTAACATTTAAAACTAATAATCTATTTTCAAAGCGGTTCTTTTCGGTGAGACGTTAAAAGAAAATATATAGTCTTTAAACGAAAGTCGAGCTTTTACGTTAAGTCCGGGAACGCCTACGCCACCCTTTATTACACTTTTCAAAAATGTCCTAAATTAAAACCATTAAAGGAAAATTATGACGCTCATGAAAACGTCCAATTCAAAACATCCATTTCCCCTCTGAATCATGTACGAGGACATTAGCTGTATTTTATGATAGTGAAGTTTTATTAACGCTCGTACCTCAGCATCAAAAAA